AAATATATTATTTTCAAGCGAATTTCGCTTATTTAACGGCAGGACTATGAATATTATCGTCATTTTCTTCGGACTCGCTGTCGTTCACTTCCCCCACCCTTCCGCCACGCCACGGCTCGCCGAAAAATCAAGCTACCCACTGACTTTTGACAATATTTCTGAATGCACTTAACATACTTCCACAAATAAAATATTTTTATCTGGGAAAGTACTAGGTTTTATCTGGAATAGTTCTCGGGTTGCCAGTTATCACAGTATTTTTTTGCCGCTACCAAACTAATTTGTTTAACAATCGGCCGTCAACTTTGACTATATCACGCGCGTGCGTCGTATATTTCATTTTGCAACTAAGGCTAAAAAATAAAAAAACTTTCCAGGTTGCAAATTTGAAATTAAAAAAAAATGATAGATTTCAATGTATTATTATGAAATCTACCATGAAAAAAATCAGTTCTATTGTGGAAGATCTTCGGGATCGTCCAGACTAATAATTAGGTAATTTGTTTATAAGGCCATAACTTGTAAACTATTCAACTTGCTGATTCCAGTTTTCGTGTGAGTTATTAGACAGTGATACGGAATGAGAGGATGCGATGCCAAAACGTTCTGGTAATAATAACGCAGTTTATAGATGTTTTATTCGAAAGTCATAAATAAACTTCTTCTGTTTATAACTTTTGATCTAATCAATATCTTTTGACCCTCGATGGCTAGTTTTGTAGGTCTTTTGAAGACGAAAATAAAGTACTTTACTGTTTTCTCGTGGAAATGAACGGAAAAAAGTTATAAGGGAAAAACGTGAATTTACCTAAAAATTATACAATTAACCATCCTGTAAATAATCTTCCTCCCATTTTTATGATTGTGGAAACTAATACTAATAATATAATACTAATACTAAATATTGTACATAATATTTATCATCTATAGTGATAAATTCAGCTTGCCGAAACAAAAAGTCGTGAAATGGTCATTTCCCAGATTTTTTTCATGTCCTATACTGTCGATTAATACTCTAGGTACACTCACACCGTGTACCAAATTTGTTTTTTTTTACTATTTTTGACATTAATTAAAAAAATTAAAACATTGCGGGGATTAGGCTTATAAATTTAGACACCCTGTAACTATTTTTGTAAAAAAATTAAAATGTTGAAACACCTCACTTTTAACAATCTTATTGTTCTAAGGGCAACGATGATAGTTTTTGATCAACTCACTTAGCGCGACATACAGGACAGGAAAGTACCGATGTTCTATCTGAAGTTACGTGAGAGCGATAAAGTAAGCCATAGAAATCCATGCGATAGAGAAGGATGGCTATAATGAAGGCTTCTCTTTGTCACCGCCCGTTTCGCCCTTCCACAAATAAGATCCACTTCTTATTTGTGGAAGGGCGAAATGGGCGTTGACGATTAGACGCCTTCATTATAGCCATCCTTGTCTATCACATGGATTTCTATGGCTTACTTTATCGCTCTCAAGTAACTTCTGATAGACCATCGGTACTTTCCTACACTGTAGAAATTCTGTGCGTTTTTGCAGCCAAACTAAATTACATGCATTAGATTTTATCGAATAAATAATAAATATGAACCGTCCTATAAAACCCACGTATTATACGACTGTTTTATTGCTAACACTATTACATAAAACCTAATTTATGTTTAGTAATATTTATTTAAACTTTCCAAAATATGAATTTGCATTTAATTTTAATTTAAAATAATATGGAGATTATGTGACATATAGTGATCAACGAACCCAACACGATTTCATTTAATACTTAGCGCGAAATAACTAATTAAATGTACAGAATTTAATTCAAATTGCCTGTATGAAACATTATCGTAAATATGTACATAAAAGATTAATTCCATGTGGATANCCCCCTTCCCTAGCCCACTGGCTCGCGATGCCCTTTAGACATGGGTTTAAAGCGATTGCATTTATGAAAGTATAATACAATTTGATATACATAGTATTATACTGTCATACGATTTTATTGCAGCCAAAAATATTCTAAAAAATATACTGAAATTATTGAAATGTTAATTTTAAAATGAAAAATTATATTAAAAATGCCATAGTTTGTCAAAATGCATAAGATTGTTATTTGCGCTTTCCTGTAAAGTATAAATATTTCATTGTTCGTACTCGTAGTTCGGTTTCAAAAACATACTTCATTGCAAAATTTACGATTTTATTTTATTATGCCAAATTGAATTACACAAACAATCACAAGTTGAATGTAATCCATTTCTAATTACTAATTTGTGTATGGCTTATTTAAAAATTTAAATGGAAAATTTTAAGCTAAATAATCGTTAATAAACAATTTGAAAAAAAAGGAAAAAATTCGATTTTTTAATTTTTTCTTACTTTTTTGCCTGTTTTTTTTTTAGTAAAGATAGGTATTGACATTGCTTCATAGAAAATGTAGATACATTTTCCTTCAATATAAGAGGTTGTAAAGTATTTTTGGATGAAAATTGACTGATATATGGCCGTTCAAACTTAATCAATTTTTCCATTTTCGTCGCGTTTACTTTATACGTTTTAATTCTCATTTTTTGGCAAAAAAAAAACAAGGATTCGTTCATGGATTTTCATCACATGATTTGTTGAAAGGGTCAATGAAAAAACTGCGGGGTGCTATTAAATTAGGGGGTTGAAATTGAAGATAGGGGAGAAAATGCACTATTGCAGTTTTTTAAATACTTATAGCACGAACAAAAAGTAAAATTTCGGAATAGTTCATAGGAAAAATTTTGTAGAGAATTAAATTTTCCATCGAAATGGCTTATCTAAAAAATTTAAAAGAAAAATTTTATGCAAAAAATCGGTAATAAACAATTTGAAAACAGCAAAAAAATTCGATTTTTTAATTTTTTTTACCCTTGCCTCTAGTTTTTTTTTTTGAGTAAAGATAGGTATAGGCATTGTTTCATAAAAAAAGTAGATAACATTTCCTTCAAAATAAGAGGCTGTAAAGTATTTTTGGATGAAAATTGACTGATATATGGCCGTTCAAACTTAATCAATTTTTCCATTTTCGTCGCGTTTACTTTATACGTTTTAATTCTCATTTTTTTGCAAAAAAAAAACAAGGATTCGTTCATGGATTTTCATCACATGATTTGTTGAAAGGGTCAATGAAAAAACTGCGGAATGCTATTAAATTAGAGGGTTGAAATTGAAGATAGGGGAGAAAATGCACTATTGCAGTTTTTTAAATACTTATAGCACGAACAAAAAGTAAAATTTCGGAATAGTTCATAGGAAAAATTTTGTAGAGAATTAAATTTTCCATCGAAATGGCTTATCTAAAAAATTTAAAAGAAAAATTTTATGCAAAAAATCGGTAATAAACAATTTGAAAACAGCAAAAAAATTCGATTTTTTAATTTTTTTTACTCTTGCCTCTAGTTTTTTTTTGAGTAAAGATAGGTATAGGCATTGTTTCATAAAAAAAGTAGATAAAATTTCCTTCAAAATAAGAGACTGTAAAGTATTTTTGGATGAAAATTGACTGATATGGCCGCTCAAACTTAGTTAATTTTTCGATTTTCGTCGCGTTTACCCATTATACGTTTTAATTCTCATTTTTTGCAAGAAAGAAGGATTCCTTCAAGGATTTTCATCACATGACTTGTTCAAAGGGTGTTTAAAAATGAAAATCCATTAAATTAGAAGGTTGAAATTAAAGATAGGGGTGAGAATGCACTTTTGCAATTTTTTAAATATAGCACGAAAACAAAGCAAAATATCGGAATAGTTCATAGGGAAAATTTTGTAGAGAATTGAATTTCCCATCGAAATGGCTTATTTAAAAAATTTAAAAGGAAAATTGTATGCAAAAAATCATTAATAATCAATTTAAAAAAGGAAAAAATAAGATTTTTTGATTTTTTTACTTTTTCTGACATTAATTAAAAACAAAAGCAAATCGATAAATAATTCGAGAATAATTCACAGAATTTGATTTCGCATTGCAAAAATAATATATCTCCATAATACGAAATTGGCTGCTTTTTTTTCGTAGTACGTAGACGATAAAAGTTTTTGACTTTGAGATCCCGAAATTAGAAATTTCAAGCTTCCATTTGCTTCATTTTATTGCCCCATGATAATTTTTCGCAAAGTTACAGCCTTTTGAAAATCACCTAAAATTAAAAAAAAAATGTATCATTTAATTTTTGTGACTAGTGCTTAAAACTGGAAAATGATGCGCTAGACAGAATCCTTTCAACTGAGGAATCGTTATTAAACAGTCTTTCTTTGCGGTTTACTACCCGCGCTTCTGGAATAAAAATGAGGCTTTAAAAGTAAAAAGTCGACTCGGCGGGACTTATCTCGTCAAAACTTACAGGGAATTTAGATTAGGAACGTCTCCGAANTTATCTACCGGAATCAGAATAAAATATACCTAACATTTAAAAATATTTCTAAAAAAAATTAATTCACAGTACCTATTTCTACCTATAATTTATTGAGATAAGGGTTTAAAGTGATTGCATTTATGAAAGTATAATACAATTTGATATACGTAGTATTACACTGTGGTACGATGTTATTGCAGCCAAAAATATTCAAAAAAATATGCTGAAATTATTAAAATGTTAATATTAAAATGAAAAATTATATTAAAAATGTCATAGTTGTGAAAATGCATAAGATTGTTATGTGCCCTGTGCTGCAAAGTATAAATATTTCCTTGTTCGTACTTTACAAATAAAAAAAGATTTCAAAAACATACTTCATTGGAAAATTTTCGATTTTATTTTATTATTATAAATTGAATTACACAAACAATCACAACTTGAATGTAATCCATTTCTAATGACTAATTTGTGTATCGAAACGTTTTCTTAAATTTCCCGCCACCTAACCTCATTCATACTCTATTGCGCTGTTGCCGTTACTCTTTCGCGTTTATTACTTGGCGGGAGACAAGTCAGAACTTTTTATGTTTGAAAATTTATTTCTCTGTGAAATGTGCGGTAACCTACTTTTTTCTTTCTCTTATTCTATTGATTTGAATTTTAGATGCAAAAAGAGTGCTATTAAATTAAAGGGTGGAAATTGGAGATAGGGGTGAAAATGCACCCCTTTCATTTTTTTAATTGTAGCTCGAAAACGGAGCAAAATTTCGATATAGTTCATAGGAAAAAGTATTTAGAGAATTGAATTTCCCACCGAAATGGCTTATTTAAAAAATTTAAAAGAAACATTTTATGCAAAAAATCGTTAATAAACAATTTGAAAACAGCAAAAAAAATCGATTTTTTTTTATTTTTTTTACTTTTTTGCCTCTAGTTTTTTTTTAGTAGATAGGCATTGCTTCATAAAAAAGTAGATAAAATTGTATGGTCGCTGAAATTAGTCAATTTTCGATTTTCGTCCCATTTACCCTTATACGTTTTAATTCTCATTTTTTGAAAAAAAAAAAGAAGGATTCGCTCAAGGATTTTCATCACATAACTTGTTCAAAGGGTGATTAAAAATGAAAAACCAAGGGTTCCATTAAATTAGAAGGTTGAAATCGAAGATAGGGGTGAAAATGCACTTTTGCAATTTTTTAAATATAGCTCGAAAACGAAGCAAAATATCGATATAGTTCATAGGAAAAATTTTGTAGAGAATTGAATTTCCCATCGAAATGGCTTATTTAAAAAATTTAAAAGGAACATTTTATGCAAAAAATCGTTAATAAACAATTTAAAAAAAGGGAAAAATAAGATTTTTTGATTTTTTTACTTTTTTTGACATTAATTGAAAACAAAAGCAAATCGATAAATAATATATCTAAATAATACGAAATTGGCTGTTTTTTTTTCGGAGCACGTAGACGATAAAAGTTTTTGATTTTGAGATCCCGAAATTAGAAATTTCAAGCTTCCATTTGCTTCATTTTATTGCCCTATGATAATTTTTCGCAAAGTTACAGCCTTTTGAAAATCACCTAAAATTAAAAAAAAATTATCGTTTCATTTTTGTGACTAGTGCTTAAAACTGGATAAATGATGCGCTAGGCAGATAATCCTTTCAACTGAGGAATCGTTATTAAACAGTCTTTCTTTGCGGTTTACTGCCTGCGCTTCTGGAATAAAAATGAGGCTTTAAAAGTAAAAAGTCGACTCGGCGGGACTTATCTCGTCAAAACTTACAGGGAATTTAGATTAGGAACGTCTCCGAACACCCCCAGCTCGATGATCCTAATAAAGTTGTCGTTCAGGGTCCTGTAATTGAAAACAGCAATCAGGAGCGGGATACGAAAAATCAGAAGCGGGATTCTCGTATTTGTTTTACTCACAGTGACTCCAGCGCTGTCAGATTGAGGAACGTTCCGTTCTTCAGCATCGTCAAGCGATTATTGGACAGGAACCTGAAAATAAACAGTTCAGTTTTAAGAATATTTACTTTATCTTCTCAAATACACCGCGGGGGTCACTCTCAGCACCTATCTCTACATAAATCATCGGCCCATTCAATTTTTTCGGGCGGGATGGCAATTTACGAGGTTAAATTTATTACAGCAGAGGGCGTTTATCCCTCTGGGGCTTCACACTCCTCCCCCACCCCGGCGGCGACTTCAAGTCGTTCAGGGTGTGGGAATATACCTTCATTAAAGCTAAGTGAAAGATCCTGCCGCATATACAATTTATCACCACGAAGTCTCTGAAATGTCTAAACAAAAAAAAAAACAGTTTAGTTCCTAACTAGTCCCGAACATCGTTCTTCCATCAACACTAAATAATTTGTTCAAGGACAAAAACCTCCAGTGCAAGGTATTCCTCTCGTTATGGGATTTAAAAAAAAAATTCTCTCTGAAGTTGTAGGAGGACGANAATAGGGGTGTACGAAGATTGCGCCGGTCGTAACGCCCAATGTTACGAGGCTCTGGTGGCATATCAAAGTAAGAAATACACTTCTTAAAAGGCATCTAAGACATAACTTTTTCTAGGGGGCGCCCTCACGTTGGTCCAAAGAAGATGTTGGCAGCCTCCGAAAGGCTCGAACGAGACGAATTTCTGTGATTCCTTCGACAATCCCGTCGGGGAGTTAGGAAAATGCATAACTTGCACCACCGATCTATGCAATACTGACAAGAAATTCTGGTTGTAGTCTGATACCGTTCATGTATAATAAATCAATCAGTTTGATCACTTGAAGCCGTTGACTTTTGTTTCAAATCAAATTTAATAAAGACGAATTTGCATATCACAACTAATTTTAATCGTGAATACAAATTGTTTTACTCTCTCAGATGATATAGATGGGGATAGGAAACCAGAAAGATAACTACTACATTTCACTGAATTATCTATTTTGGTTCTAAAATTATATTACAATGTCTTAATGTCGATTTTATCAAAGCCTTCACTGTCCCAGACCCGATGATGAACAAGAAGTACTTGGACGATTAGGATAAGCCTCGGCATTCCTACGACGAGCTTCAACGCCATTACCATTGACATGTCCCTTACAAAACGCATGTCCGTTATTCCTCCGTTGGTGTAGATGCAATAGCATTATTATACAGGTTGTTTATTAATTGAATGCCGATACTTAAGGGTGTGAATCCTTGGGTCATTTTAAAAAGAAAACTTAATATCAACATATGTCCTACACCTCTTAATTTTTGAGCTACAGGGTGTTACAGTTTTAAGAAATTATTTACTTTTTTATTATAATTTTCTTATCACTCCAGATATGTTTGTTTTAAAATCTTTGCCAATGACGTCCGTACGAGGTTTGAACTAAACATTTTTGAAGAAAAAAATGGTACGCCACTGCTTTTTCTAAAAACTAAAATTATTTTAAAAATTTCCATTTATTTTACAGCAAATTCGGTCCCTAGACTTACTCTCGTACGACGCACCATTTGCACGTAAAAAAATGAAATCCAAAAAAAGTTTTTTCTCCAAGTTCATTGAGACTGCTTGTGATATTTTGTTGCCATTTTGTAGACACCCACCATGCGTGGAAAAACTTTTTGTGGGGCAAAAATTAATTTTCTACTTTCACAAATGACGTTCACGTAGGCATAATATTAAATGTTTGGCTAGAAAAAACGGTAAGCTCATTAAATGCCCCCTTAAGGCAAATGAAATAAAAATTAGTAGTCTGGGTAAAGTGTCATAATGTATTTAATATGTATTTACAGTAGTTGTTGAAAGTGTCCTCCACCCACACGTATGCAAACATCTACTCTTCTTCGCATAGACTGATGTACATTTTCAAAAATTCCTGGGCTGTCTCTTATGGTTTGGCAGCATACTATTATACGATTTCGTAACTCTTCTTCGGTTTGAATCGGCACTGCGTACACTAAGCTTTTCAGATGACCCCAGAAAAAGTAAGTCTAAACTATTAAGGTCGGGAGATCTGGGCGGCCATAACTGCGTTCCTTCGCGGCCTATCCACCGATCGCGATAGTCGAGATTTAAAAATTCACGCACTCGTAAGCTAAAATGTGGAGGCACACCATCGCGCATTAGCCGCATCTGATTTCTTAATAAAAGAGGAAGGTCTTCAAGCATTGGCGGCAGATCTTCTTCAAGAAAGTGTAAATACGATTGTCCGTCTAATCTTCTTGGGAGAAAAAATGGGCCTATCAAATAACCGTCAATAATACCAGCCCAAACATTTATTGAAAACTGTTCTTGATGATTTGATTCAACAATTGCAAAAGGGTTTTCATCCGCCCACAAATGGTTATTATGGAAATTTCGTATTGANAAATATCTCTGAAGTTGGAGGAGGACGATCTGCCTTCCGATCAAATAAAATAAGCTGTAAATCCCAAATTAATTCTGCAGACGACAATTTCAGGGATTCCCCGCCCACTTTGGAGTATTTTTATGGCGCTCAAGCCACCAGTTTGAAAAGCAGGAAGTTTTATTAAATTGGGCGCCGTTATCGTCTGGATTGGGCCGTGTCTGGGCCCGAGACATAAAAATAATTAATAAGCACCAGATTACGACCCAAGCGAGATTAGTTTTGACGTCAGAGGCCCTGTTACAGCAACTACCACCCTTAAAACTAGATAGATCGAACGTAAAAGCAGAAGATTTGGATAGAAATGGAATTATTCCCCTCGCGTTTACTAATTGTCATATTCTTCTCAAAACGATTTGACCCGCTCCATTTCAGTCACCTGAGGCTCCATATTATCTGACTGATCCATTAAAACAGCATGATCCGACGTATTACTAGAACCTGGAGTGAAAGTGTCATTGTAAAGAATCCTGTTGGCTATTTCATTTTTGTTACTTAAACTGTCAACAACATAACTTTCTGCAATTGTGGCTGATGCCACCCACCATGTCTCTTGATTGCTAATACAGCAACTCCTGCATTAGCCAGTAACGTTGCCGATGTTCTTCGGAATGAATGGCCTGTATATGTTTCAGGGTGTTCTAGTTTAAAAAATTATGCAGTCTTATTAGAAATCATAGAAAGGGTATTCTTGCCGACTGGTTGGTTGTAACATCTACCTGCTTGATAACGCATAAAAAAGCGTGAAATCTGTCAAATTAATTGGTAACTGTGTCACATTCAGTTAGCTTTCTAGGAATTTCATTTGGAATTATTGTTATTTTTTTAACTTACATTTTTATTTTATATTATCGTTACTGTTGTTGTTGTACACCACTAATTAAATTTGTTACAATTTCATTAACATAAAAAATGAAATTACATTTACATTGTATGTGTTACAAGAGTTTTTGATTTTTTTACTTGAAAACGCTGAGTCGTACAGAAAAATCGAAAGGGAGCTTCTTTTTTCCGAATTAAATGAAGAATCCAAAACCGATTTTTATTTTATGAAAAAGCGGTGGCGTACCAGTTTCTTTTTTAGAATTATCCAATAACGTGCTAATACGGACGCCACTGGCAAAACTAAAAATTATGTTTTTCATTGCAAAACGTGCTCCCTCGATGGTAGTTAACGTTTACAAATTTTCATTGAAATATCTTTATAGTCTGTTTGGAAATGAAAGAGAGTAATAAAACCCCGAGATAAGAATCGGCCATGGGCGTGCTAATANATTGTAATATTCTTCTCAAAACGATTTGACCCGCTCCATTTCAGTCACCTGAGGCTCCATATTATCTGACTTATCCATTAAAACAGCATGATGCGACGTACTACTAGAACCTGGAATGAAAGTGTCATTGTAAAGAATCCTGTTGGCTATTCAATTTTCATTACTTAAATTGTTAGTAACATAACTTTCTGCAATTGTGGCTGATTTCCACCCTCCATGACTCTTGATTGCTACTACATCAACTCCTGTATTAGCCAGTAACGTTGCCGATGTTCTTCGGAATGAATGGCCTGTATATGTTTCAGGGTGTTCTAGTTTCAAAAATTATGCAGTCTTATTAGAAATCATAGAAAGGGTATTCTTGCCGACTGGTTGGTTGTAACATCTACCTGCTTGATAGCGCATAAAAAAGCGTGAAATCTGTCAAATTAATTGGTAACTGTGTCACATTTAGTTAGCTTTCTAGGAATTTCATTTTACTATCATTTTTTTTTAACTTACATATTTATATTATATATTTTCGTACTGTTGTTGTTGTACACCACTAATTAAATCTGTTACAATTTCATTAACATAAAAAATAAAAGAGGTGAGTTGATTTTTTTACTCGAAAACGCAGAGTCATACAGAAAAATCGAAAGAAAGCTTTTCCCTTCCAAATTGTATGTAGAATCCAAAACTGGTTTTTATTTTATGAAAAAGCAGTGACATAGCAATTTTTTCTTTAGAATACCCAGTAACGTGCTAGTAAGGACGCCACTGGCAAAACTAAAAATAATTTTTCATTGCAGAACGTGCTCCCTCGATGGTAGTTAACGTCTATGAAATTTCATTGAAATATGTTTAGCCGTTTGGCAACAATTAATAAATAAACTGAACCACCTTACATAATCATGCCATTACTGTAAAAAAAAGTTGCCACCACCATCACAGGCGGTGAAAACTGAAATATGACATATTTGAATGGCTATCTTGAAGTACTTATGGCTATCTTGAAGTACTGGTATCAGCATCCTCTTTCACTCATTTCAGTTCACTTCATTCGTATACACGCTTTTTCATAATATCACTAGAAAACTTGAAAACGAATACAAAAAAATACACTGTACCTATAACAAATACTGAAATAATTACCTTTTCAGAGGCAGTACTACGGCAGTCTAACTGAACGGAGGAGGCTAGCCCCCGTTGATTGAAAAAACAACGGCAAGTGCACAGGTACAACTTATCAGGATAATTTCTGTTGGCCAAATTAAAGTGAAGGTTAAAAAAAATAATTGTAAGTATATTATTTATTTGATTAAACAAAATGTCGAAATATTTTAAATTTACCTGACGACGTTTTTTCGGACATCCTGTATTATACTTCAGACCTTAAAAATATTTTACGTTCTCGTAAATTCTTTGTAGACCAATTGTTTTCCACTAAAAATGTACTGAAATTTTATTGGAATTTCTTGCAAGACGGGATCAACTTCCTATACATAAAATAGAAATTGCATTCAACTTTTTCCGCAATGCATAGTGACAGCGGCAACTGTTTTTCACGTAATTATAGAGTATAAATGATAAAGGAACAGTAATATATCAGTCCTTGGTTCTATTATCGCTTTGGCTTCAAACGATTGTAAGAAAACTGTCAATTAAAGCAATAGATAAAAATGTATGTACTAACCTACGCCGCTACTGATATATATTTTATTTATTTATATGTTACCGTTTATTTAGAATTTATGAACGTGTTACATACAAGTGTGGTACAAAATGTAGGCCCCAAAAATGAACAAAATCAAGAAATAATGTAATTAGTCCAGGAAAATAAGGGACAAATGAGCGAACTTTTTTACTCTGAGATTTTTTTATAGAACAGTATAGGTTTTTAGGGCAAAAAGCATGTGTCACGTAGCAACCACCAGCATTTTTTATCAAAAACTGCAAATATCTCAATGAACATGCATTTTTTCGAAAAAAAGTGTTCAAAATTAAATTTCCTACAAAATTGACCCTATGTAAAAATTTCGATTTTTCTAGTAGTTTTCCTGTATTTTTTTAAATGAAGTACAGATTTAGTGAAAATTAATATTTTGGAGTCCAAATAATAATCACTTCGCTTTTATATAACAGAAGTGAATTAGCGAAAGAAAAATTGCGGAAAATTCTTGGAAAATCTTATATAATTGTTCATCAAGTTGCGCAAAAATATACAGGGTGTTCCATTTAAAAAAAAAATTAAGATTGTTTAAAGTTGCCTAAATTCGGCATTAAATTTCTACTACCCTGTATGAAATTCAGTCATTTTGAAATTATGGCAGGGAAGCTTAGAGTTTTAGTTATGTCCACTATAAATTTTATCGCTCTATCTAGCTTTATTATTGTAAAATACACATCTTTTTGAATTAGGCAGTGCTTTTTTTGAAAAAAAAATCAAATATCAAAAACAGTTAAGTTTAAGAATAGGAAACCTTTCACCTAAAAATTGATGTAGAATCCAAAATTGCAACAATATACAAGGTTTTCCATTTAAAATAACGAAGATGACGTCAACTTCTGGTATAACCGGAAGCGTTAGGTGGACGCCATTCGGTAGCGAAAATTATGTGATTTTTCATGTTGGGTTGTCTTCCAAATAAATTTCTAATTTCCTCGCAATCTTCTGCAATCTGCTCTCATAGTTCTTGTAAGACGTTGGCTTTGTAAGGATGCCACTTTTGGGACTTCAGAGTTCTGTGATCCGAGGACTTCGACAAGTTGAAGTTGGCTGAGATAGATCTCATGGATCAGTAAAGATTTTCAGTAACGTTGAGCGATTCATTTTCGCTTACCGTTCTTCGACTTCCTAATCCAGGTAAATCATTTATACTTGCGGTTTCTTCAAGCTTTTTGGATACTTTACTTATTGTAGCTCCACTAATTCTCTGATCTGCATACTTATGGTGAAATAAGTCACATGCCTCCTGTTAACTACGGATTTTATCTCCGCATCCAATCACAATTAAAATTTGTATTTTCTTTTGAGAAAAAAAAAGCTTTAAAGTAAGTAGAAAAAGATTAATAAAGAGTAGGTACGTTTTTTAAAGTATAGAGGAGACTATGATTGTTTGAAATAGTCGTCAGTACGACACAAAAGACAGTTTTTTACATTAAAAAAAAAGTAAGTATGACCTTATATCGTTGAATTCGTGTCTAGAAGGGTTATCTGACTTTCAAATAATATTTAAAATGAAAAATAAGTCAACCACGTATCTGAATGTAAAAATTCTTGCTCTTTCAGAATCCGGAGATAATTGAACTGTTCGAGGTTATGTTTGTTTACCCTGGGGCAGCTTATTTTTTAATCTCATTGAGTATAATTAAACGCTATTTTAGGATGAAATTTTGGGAGTAGTGAGGCATATCCCCTAGGAATAACTTCGTTTATCCTAAAAGGGTAATTATAGCAGCAGACATTTTCCTCACCCTTTTCTATAGCAGCAGAAACATTTCGAAAACTTCGAAATTCGTTAGAAAAGCGAAGCAATATGCTTCCAAGTACAAGCCATTATCTTTTTACATAAATTTCGCGCAAATTACTGTCGAGGTAATGAGGCTATTTAATGTGACAGTTTTTAACATTTAATTTTATTATGGGATAGCAATGAAGTGGACAGTGTGTGCGCTGATGTTAATTGTCTGTGTCCTGGTCTGTCACAGGGGTAAGATTATCGATTTTTTATTTTGTTCCACGAATCCTACACTGGGAAAACTAGTTTGTTTGCATATTTGGACCATAGAAACTTTATCAAAAATATAAAAAGTAACGCTTTTACTTCAGTTCCTAGCGGGCAGCCGACCAGAGCACACGTGTTTTGTGAAAGTGTAGTGCAAGGAGCAAATTCTACCTGCCTTTATTAAGGCTACCTGGAAAGAATCCCTTTCTTTCCTTTTAATCACCGACCTAATCCCCGGCTTAAGCATAGACGCCGTCGGCATCTTTGTTACAGCACCTGTGCCGGGGTTATGCCCAGGTAAGTTTTTACTTATTTATCAGTTATTTGCATTACTTTAGAATACATTTCTTTAAAATTGCGACCCCCGACAAACAATATACCAGACAGACAAATACACCAAAAGACACGTACGCCCCCGTGAGGGGGCATCCCCACACGACTAACACTTACACACCTTCCC